TTGGAAAGATATTGACAAGCTTATTGACGAAGTGGAAAAGAATAAATCTGGTGACAACGTATGGAATACCGTTTATCATAATGATGTAAGCCATTATCACGTCTCGAGAAAGAGAGTAAATATTCCAGCACACGCTTACCTACTGGAGCTTTGCCCAAACCGAGAAATAGTTATGATTTGGATTCAGCTGCAGGTACGGTTATATGTTGATACAAATAAAGTCAACTTACAATATTAACATCCTGCGTTTTTTGTATTTAGAGACTCAACCTCTTTTTGGAAAAACTTGTAATTTAGTGGGCTTATTTACAGTTATACTCAAAGGTTTGAATTATATGATGTGCTTCCACATATGCCAATATGGTTGAGTTATCGAACATGTTACTGTTAGTTGCCTTTGTTGGGCATTGACTATGTAAGAAATTAAAATACAATATTTTGAAAATTATATCTTGAGATTAATGTTAAATTGGTAATGAGTTCGATGTTAACGGTCCCTGATAAAACTAGCAACATTCGAGCCGAGCTCGGTTCGAAACATTCTAGCGTCAGCTGTTATGTGTCTTCCTAACATTGTTTTTACATCCAAACCAGTTTTTTTCCGAATATGCCACTGTTTAGCTTAGACTTGAGATAGCATACGATAGCTATTAATTTTAGAAATGGGTTATTTTTTCCCCGTAGATGATATATAAGTAGCCCGAATCGCATCGATGTTAGATGATAAACCACGGAAATTGAATAAACGCTTTTCTTTGAAATCGAACTACTTTCTTTGTTTCATCGTTGACTATTAATCGACCGAGATATACAATATTTATACTATAAACAGCTCACACCGAGCTGTAAACTATCCGTTGATTGCGGACATAATGGAGCGAGAGCGTATAATTAATAATGAAAATGACGTTTGCCGATGTCAAATCGAAGTTTAAATTTAATTAGGCAATTTTCTTTCAATTTTGTGGTAAGAATTGTTGTTATTATCATTATTATATAATGTATTATATCGTATCTACCTATTTGGATACAAATAATGATTCTCGTATAGCGAGTAGATAAACGCGCATACTGTAACTATTAAATAACTAGGTCACTTGCGAGCTTGAGATTCAGTCTTAATTACAATCGCCGAAATATAAAGGTGATACGAAGCTAAAGTCGGTAGCCTTGTTGATCGAAAAGAACACGCCTACGCGAAAGAATTCGCTCTCACAATCCCAGACTGCCGACCGCAACAATGAAACAAAGCATCAATCAATATTTTACTTTATTAAACAACGTAATGTAATATAATTTGAGCGACCGACACAGATGACTATTTTTCTCAACACATAATGCAAGATTGTCTAGTCCTTGACGTGCATTGTATAAAGTTGTCTGCATAATATTAAACGTTATGTCGGTTTTATTAAATGTTTGTAAAACGTATTTTCCCATCGCCGTGACTAGCTATACATGACTTTATCCATAAAAAGACATTTCCCTGTGGCTTATTTATTTATTTTTTTTTTTTTTAATAAATTTATAATCTTTTACCACGATCGAACATAAATAAGCTTAAATGATGACGACTTTATTAATGTTATATATCATTTTCTTAACTAAAGCCTTAACTTATAAACCTCTGATATAGTAAGTTTATATTTTCATTTATTTATTATCTACATTCGACATGACATTCTAAAAGATTATGTTACGAAAGCACTATTACACATTTTGATAAGTTGTATATTACTAAAGCATTATGTCAATTTAAAATAGACTGTTCGATTACAAGCTACTAATTTTGCAATTAACTCAAAACATGATACGTAATTCTTTTCCAATTATACACCCGTTGTGCCACAAACATTTTCGCTATCAACCTACAAATACCAACAATGCGAACTGTGGAACATACAACACGCACTGCTGGATAACGAAGACAATCCATTGCGTACACCATTATGTAACTCAGCGGCAAATCTCAATGGCACTCTACGAACAAGATAGCCTTTTTCTCGATATTTTATCACACAGTTTCCTAACACGTCGAATAACCAAACACATTCAATCAACGAGTACTGGGTATATCAGGTAGCGTGATACACCATTTCTCTCTTCTACCAAAAAGTCTTTGGATAATTGTCAATTAATTACTGTTTCTATGCTGAATACTATTAAACATTGGTTTAACAATTACAACATAATTTGTCATTTCCAAATGCCTACCAGCCAACACATAGTTATATCCAAAAACTCTATGCCAGTTAACTGAAATACTGCTGCTTATTATAGCATTAAACGGTTTAATATGATAAATTGTACATTTGGCTGTCTTTAAAATTAAAAAGAGAGAAAGTACACCCATTTAAGCTTATCTACGCTATACGGATTACGTACCGACTGTTGTTTGGATAAAATACTAAGGTTTTTTTGCTTATTAACATAGTAAAAGCTGTGTAGCTTGCGCAGCATGTTTTTTACTAATCTTGTTATTTATAAAATTTCCGAAGCAACAACTGATAACATTACATGATGTAGGTACAATAAAAGAATTCAAATCCTCACTAAAAAGTCAACTTTTGGATTTTTAATTTCACTTCTTACGGAATATAACGTCGATGAATGGTGTTCCGGAGGCTAGTCATTGATCCCTCATAGTACCAATTAAAATCCAAGTCTCCGTTGTAAGTCAGACAGTCTCTTTTATGAGTCGGGCCGTTATACATTTTTTTGTATAAATATAGATTGATAATGACGAAAATTTGCAAAAACAACTTTAATATTACCAGAATTAGTCTCAATATAACCATTATAAACTTTAATACTCCACACATTGTTAAAACGGTTGTAATCATACGGGACACTCCACATAAAGGCTAAAAATTGATTTTGATTTTCGATATGGTATACAAAAACTCCTACACTTCCCCTAACCATGGATTCAGCAGTCCTACGAGTACCCCATACCAAACCGTAACCGCCTTCGATCCGGCTAGGCAACCCCAAGTCAGATGTACCAGATTCAAAATATAAACTATGTTGAACAAGGATTTCTGATAAAGAATTTTTAATAGTAATGATAGTTTTTCTGTCGACACGGTCTAGAATCTGTATAAAAAAAACAAACAAACTCAATATGCAATTACTAGGATGCAAATAATTACAAAACAAAATAATTCATACAGTAAAAACGTCTGAAGCGTAGAAGTGGTAAGTTTTGCTATTGGAAGAACAAGTGTTGCAGCCATGATTGAGGTAAATAATCTTTAAACCTAAACTTTCGCATATTATTTGTATATCGATATCAACCAACAGCCAAAAGCAGTTGCCTTTCATTTACAAGGAAATTTTATGTTCTCAGAATTGTCATTACACCGATATAATGCAAGGTTCTTGAGTTATTATTGATATACCGCACGTAGATTTGATTTGGCGTTGATGTTAGATACGGTTGACGAGTGGACAATCACCCAAACCTATTGCGCTGGTAAATAATAAAATAATGTAAAGAAAAAGCTTTGCATTTGAACATTAACAAAATTTTAAAAAAAAAGTTTGTGTAGAAAATTCGCTTATTTGCGCTGTGTGTGAGAATGAGAAAACTGCACGTTTGACATGTGTCACATTGATTACCTACATTTCTATTTCCGCATCATATACTTTAAGCGATATATTTTCGTGTAGACAATTTCCTTGTCTGCGCTAAATAAGTTTGTGCATAAAGTGGACAGAACTCGGAAAACTGCTAAAATGGACTTTGCGTGTCTTTTTTAGTTGCAGTCACAAGCGTCAGATAATTACTTTGCATTTGACACAGATGTGTCACGATAATTACCCAAGCTTTTATTTCCAAATTAAATAGCTTGAACGAATTATTTTGTGCATAAAATTCGCAATCTGCGCTAATTAGCTTGAACAGAACTCGGGAAATTACTGAAGCGGGCTTTAGCCGTGCTTTTTTGCAGTTACGAGTCGTCATTTGCATTTTTATACATAATGTGTAAAAATTTACTAAGTTTGTGCATGAGACAATTGGAAACTGCTGAAATGGGTGGGTTTTTTTGCAGTTACACAAGTTTCTTGGCATTTTACAGATATGTCACGATAACCACCCCAAGTTCCGAACGACATACCCTAAACGATTCATTTTGTGTAGGAATTCACCTCTTTTCTGCGCTAAATCAGTCGTGCATGAAAGTGGACAGAAACTCGGGAAACTCGACTTCGCAGTGGTTTTTTTGCTGTCACACAAGCGTCCGATGATCATTTACAGCATCAACATCATAATTTTACGGACACGTGATTATTTCTGTATGTAAATTTAATTAACATAAATTTAGAATAAACTAAAATTTTGCTTCTATAATTTCTCCCACTGCAATCATGTGTCCGTAAATTTTTTGATGTTGATCTTGGGATAGTTCATTTGACGACACCGCCTAAAGTTATTAATTTCCCGAACCATATCCCATAAACGAATTAATCATTTTTGTGCAGAATTTCGCTATTCTGCGCGCCAAACAGTTTGTGCATGATAGTGAGCAAATCTCGGGAAACTGCGGAAATGAGCTTTAGCTGTGTTTTTTGCAGGGGTCAGATCGTTATTAACACCCACCCTTGTACTTTTATTCGGACAATCAACTTTAATGCCCATTTTCTGTAAAACCTAAACTTTTATTATTATTATTTTCGTACATTTATCTACTGTGATCTGTCATAATTTAGGAAATTGCGCTAAACCTCCTTTCTAAATTTACTAACTGCCGCCAAAGTCCGGCTATTTTTAAATATTGGCTGTGTCTATATCAAAAGATCCAGATTTAAGATCAAGAATTAGCACTGGCACCGGCTCACATCTCTTTCGCCTCCATGACGTACAGTGAGACCTCCATAAAGTACAAGTTGACGGGACCAGGCTTCTGGCGTGCATTTAGGGAGAGATGTGCATTGATATCCGACCATATTACGATGTGAAGATAACCAATAATATTGCTCATAATCGTCATTGTTATCATATTTAACGCAACTACAGAACTATCGTTACTCATCTTCTTATCTTCAGTACGCAACCGATAGTACTGGGATGGACAACAAGGTTATATGATTGCTTTATCCACTTGGCAAGGTCAGATTACTAGTGGTTGGGTTTGAATTTTGTATGTAATTAACACTATTTTCTGTTTAATATTAGGAGTTGTTTGTTGGCTATTATTATTATCTATGATTTGGCAAGCTTACTAAAAAAACCTTGATTACTCTTCTCAGACGAGAAGATTATTAATTATATACGCCATTATATATAAGGGTAATTTTTATGATTCTTTGTGTGATGATAACATATCTGATGAGATTTTAGGTAAGTTATTTGACCGCAGTGTTCTTTCAAAGGCGGTTCTAGCCGGAGACAATTTATTGGTTTTTTTGTTTGAGCTATCAAGTGGAGATATGATTGTTGTAGGTTTTGATGACGTTTTTTGATGGTTTAAAGTTTGTTCAGCGGGTGGATCGAGTTTTGATTAACGATTTGTATAATTTTGTTCTTTTTGCTGCTGGAAGTTGTTTAGTGGCTAGTGAGGTTCGTTTACTTAATTCTAGAGACGGTGATGACGTACTTGTGGATACGAATCAGAATTATGAAAAGCTTATCGTCGTAAACATCCCAGGTCACGGCTAGTAAAACACGCGAGCCCAATTTCAGCTTTTTTGTCCTCTCGTGGATCAATTCATAGTATACTATAATGTCAAAGTTTGCCAGATTATAGTCGAATTGCTGCTGCTCACATATTGTGTTGACATATGTGGCAAAGTAGTTATATTATTCCGTATTTGCGCGCTGATTTTGATAGTGGTCATTATATAAACCCATGTTTGGGCGTGAGGTATATTAGTAGCGGAGTAAGCGGAGATATGACATCAAACGAACGTATCTAGGAAATTTTATATGCATGCGAGTTAAGTTTAATTAATAAAAAGTTTTATAACAACATAAAAATTTCCTTTTTTAACTAATGTTTCATTGTCTAATTTGGTAATATAGGCAACAGTCAAAATTAGTAAAATAGTCACAATAAAGCAAACCCCCCCAAAATTTCTACTAATACTTAATACTGCCGTTCTTTTCGCCAGGGACTGCATGTATGAATCTAATACTAATAGAAAATATGCCCAGCTGGGATGTTGTTATGTTAAAAGCCATACTTCACAAATTTTTATTTTAGTTTCTTAACATATGTTACAAAACCAACATAATGTATTGATAAAAGCTAAAAATTCATAACTATTGAAAAAGTAAATTGTTTTGAATAAAATAAATACATACTGAAACCTAAATAAAATGCAATTTATTTTCAGTTAAATTTGCTCCAATACATATTAATATGTACTGACAAAGTTACAAGCTTTTAAATCCAATCATTACAAACATGGTGCTGGTTTTGTGAGTCACCATAACCCAAGCATCTTTCTAATATATTGTGCACATCCATGCTCTTTTTAGTTCCTGGTTGACACAAGTTAGTTATATAATGCAGATTGAGAATTTTGTTATCATATTAATAAAAAGCATATTAATATGTTTTACTGCATTCTGCTTTCTTTTTTTTATTTTTTTCTATGCCAATACATGTTATACCATATTGCAACACAAAGTGAGCAATTTAATGTTCCTCACTATTGAGCTATTTTTTTATATCAATTAACTGCCATTTTCCATCTAGTTCAATACATAATCAATCATATACCAAGAAATTTTTGAGCTTTAGAATATCCTTATTTAATAGCTTTTTGATACAATTCAACTGCTTTTTGTTCATTCTTTTCTACTCCAGTTCCATTCTCATAACACACACCAAGACTATATTGTGCTAGAGCATATCCTTGTTCAGCTGCTTTTTGATACCATTCAACTGTCTTTTGTTCATCTCTTTCTACACCAATTCCATGTTTGTAACACCAGCCAAGATTGTATTGTGCATCAGCATCTCCTTGTTCAGCAGCTTTTTGATACCATTCAACTGCTTTCTGTTCATCTTTTCCTATTCCAGTTCCATTTGCATAACAGCAACCAAGATTATACTGTGCCTTAGTATGTCCTCCTTCAATTGCTTTTTGATACCATTCAACTGCCCTTTGTTCATCTTTTTCTACTCCAGTTCCATTTGCATAACACAAGCCAAGACTATATTGTGTGCTAGCATTTCCTTGCTCAGCTGCTTTTTGATACCATTCAACTGCCTTTTGTTCATCTTTTTCTACTCCAGTTCCAAACTCATAACACAAGCCAAGGCTATATTGTGCACTAGCATTTCCTTGCTCAGCTGCCTTTTGATACCATTCAACTGCTACCTGTTCATCTATTTTTACACCAATTCCACATCCATAGCATAACCCAAGATTGTACTGTGCACTAGCATGTCCTTGTTCAGCAGCTTTTTGATACCATTCAACTGCTTTTTGTTCATCTTTTTCTACTCCAGCTCCATTTGCATAACACCAACCAAGATTCTTTTGTGCACTAGCATTCCCTTGTTCAGCTGTTTCCTGGTACCACTCAACTGCCTCTTGTATATCACTTCCTACTCCAACTCCATTCTCATAATACACATCAAGATTAAATTGTGCAATAGCATCACCTTGTTCAGCAGCTTTTTGGTACCATTCAATGGCATTTTGTTCATCCTTTTCTATTCCAATTCCATGCCCATAACACATGCCAACATTATTTTGTGCTTGAGCATGTCCTTGTTCAGCTGCTTTTAAAAACCATTCAATTGCCTTTTGTTCATCCTTTTCTACTCCAGTTCCATGGTCATAACATAAGCCAAGACTATATTGTGCACTAGCATTTCCTTGCTCAGCTGCTTTTTGATACCATTCAACTGCCTTTTGATGATCCTTTTCTACTCCAATTCCATTCCCATAACACACACCAAGATTAAATTGTGCTTGAGCAAACCCTTGTTCAGCAGCTTTTTGATACCATTCAACTGCTTTCTGTTCATCTTTTCCTACTCCAGTTCCATGTCTATAATACACACCAAGATTATATTGAGCCTTGGCATACCCTTGTTCAGCTGCTTTTTGATGCCATTCAACTGCCTTTTGATGATCTTTTTCTACCCCAATTCCATTCTCATAACACACACCAAGATTAAATTGTGCATTAGCATCACCTTGTTCAGCTGCTTTTTGATACCATTCAATATCAATATCAAATGCTTTTTGCTCATCCTTTTCTACTCCAATTCCATTCCCATAACACACTAACACACCAAGATTATATTGTGCTTGAGCATGTCCTTGTTCAGCAGCTTTTTGATACCATTCAACTGCCTTTTGTTTATTTTGTTTTACCCCAGTTGCATTCTCATAACACACTCCAAGATTATATTGTGCTTGAGCATGTCCTTGTTCAGCAGCTTTTTGACACCATTCAACTACCTTTTGTTTATTTTTTTCTACTCCAGTCCCATTATGATAACACCAACCAAGACTATATTGTGCTTGAGCATATCCTTGTTCAGCAGCTTTTTGGTACCATTCAACTACCTTTTGCTCATCCTTTCCTACTCCAGTTCCATGTCTATAATACACACCAAGATTATATTGAGCCTTGGCATACCCTTGTTCAGCTGCTTTTTGATGCCATTCAACTGCCTTTTGATGATCTTTTTCTACCCCAATTCCATTCTCATAACACACACCAAGATTAAATTGTGCATTAGCATCACCTTGTTCAGCTGCTTTTTGATACCATTCAATATCAATATCAAATGCTTTTTGCTCATCCTTTTCTACTCCAATTCCATTCCCATAACACACTAACACACCAAGATTATATTGTGCTTGAGCATGTCCTTGTTCAGCAGCTTTTTGATACCATTCAACTGCCTTTTGTTTATTTTGTTTTACCCCAGTTGCATTCTCATAATACACTCCAAGATTATATTGTGCTTGAGCATATCCTTGTTCAGCCACTTGATGATATAATTCAACAGCTTTTCCAGCATCTTTCTCTACTCCAATTCCATGTTCATAGCAATAGCCAAGATTGTACTGTGCTGCAGCATTTCCTTGTTCAACTGCTTGTTTGTATAATTCAATGGTCTTTTCAGTATCTTTTTCTACCCTGATGTTATTTTCATAACAATCACCAGGATCATACTGCTCTTTTTTATTGTTAATGATAACTGAATCAAGATTACACCTTTGTCCTGTTCTTGGTAATAGAATTGTGGTGTCTGGGATGTAATCTTTCTTCATTTGACAATTGAGTATATCATGACGTAATTTTCTTGGTAATAAATCATCAAATAGAAGAGCCTTATCAGGGGACATATTAAAAAATCTAATGTGAGGTATACAATCTGCTATAATGTCTTTCACTGTGTTGATTTCGTGGGATGACCAATTATTTAGATCATTTCCAAGTTCTAGCCCATGCACTTGTTTAGTGGCCCATTGCACAACTGATATCCAAATATCATCATCTTCTATGCTGAGGTCATTGTTTTTGAGAAAATTGATCAAGGTCTCCTTTGGTAAAGTTGCAAAATCGTTTGATTTAAACACAATATCTGGGTGCAAAACCATAAGTTGATTGCAATAATCCAAAAGCTTGTTTGAAGGAGAAGTAGAAAGATCATACTTATGAACTGTTACGATATAGGCTTCAAGTGCAATGCAAAGATCAAGTAGTCCAAGTTTACTAGCACCATCCAGAAGACTAATCCAATCCACAAGTTTACATGACTCATAGAAAATTTGCCCGGTATAAATAAACCTGCAGAAAGCAATTTTATTTAGAGTATTACTATCAGGATTAGTATTACTGCTGTTATTATTATAGACATGTTTTTGATAGCATAGCAACGTTATTCATATGTTCTAACATAAAATTTACCTGAGCAGAATTTCGAAAATATCGGAGGACACATCTTCCAATATCATAGTAATAGCAGTCTTTTGAATCTCTTTAGCTGTCTCTGACTTTCCGGTCAAACTCTTCTCGAAGAACGAGCATTGCGTACACAATATTAGTGTATGAGCAAAAAATACTTTTTTATTTGGCTCCCTTCCAACATGAATTGAAACGTCTGCATATTTGCCGCTTTCGTAAAGCCTCTCATAGGCTGATAAAAGGCGTGAGGACAAATCAACTACGATATTCATTTTGTGCAATATTTTATATTTGAGAGTTTTTTGGATGTTGCTTCATCGGTTGAAAGGCTTAGTAATCGTTGATTATTGTGTAACAGTGTAAAGTCGTACAATATTCATTTGACGTTCGGCAACGGATAATAATAAGTACTACCAACTGGTTTTCATCGCCGTCTAGCGAATAGTATAAGTATGCTTGTCGGCGACTATTGCTTAGGTAAAGATTTTTTATAATAAGTGTTTAAAAAACCATCACTATGAGTATAAGGTTCTAGTCAACGAACCTTTGTCCGATTCAGAGGGCCCTATAGTGTGCAAGCGGGCATTGTCAGGTACGTTGGTGGGGGCGAAGACTGTTCGAACATAGGTCTCAATGCTGCAAGTCCAGAAGCTAGACGGAATTACTGTGAAGTAGTCTTTCCAATTTATAAGCCTAAAATTTACTCGATGATAAGTTTTGGATTACGTTAAAGCGCAGCTATCACACGGAGGCTATATTGTTTGAAAAATGTTACCAGAACCAAAATCATTGTAATCGTCAGAGGTATGATGTTTATATGCATACTTATTGGATTTTTGAATTATCGGCAAAGCTCGTTTCTTGTCTTCAAGTACGTATAGGTATTCGATGAGAGGAGTTAGTTTAGTGTAAATGACATTTTACAAAGTATGTTGTAATTAGAATACAGTTCTTAATACCACGTATAGTGATATGTTAACTGTTAATACAGCGTCTTTGCTTCGTCAAAGAAGGAAGGAGCAAAAAGTTATATTCGAAGCATTCAGTAATCGCATAAAGTTACAAGTTAAAAGCATATTGACATTTATGATAGACTTTAATGCATATTATGTACGGTTATATTACTGTTCGGGTTGAACTAAAAGTTAATCTGGGTTACAAAAGTCTTAGACAAGTAAGCAGTAGTCAAGGATGTTTTTTCTAATAAATTGGATTAAAAAATAACCGATTAAAACCCACTAGCGTAATAAAGGGCTAAGCGGCTTTATCTCTTCTTTTTATGATTACATACTAATGATAGTAATCGCAGATGTAAATAGGTTTTCTAAAAGTAAAGTCTGTAAGTAAAAATGTAAACTAGTTTCATGTATCAGAAATAAATTCTTGCTGCTCTTTATTTTTATTAGTAATAGTGTAATGTTAGAATTATTAATTTTCAGAACCATTTAGTATTTTTTCCTACAAAATAGTTTATTTAAGATCTTTTTAAGATAACCCATAATTTGAATCTGCAGAGAGATTTTGACTTGCAAAAATCTTATTCAAGCAGAGTATAATTTGTGATAACGTGGTAACAAACAGTACGTTTTTCTATAAAATAGTACGTTCATAATATTCGCTAAATAAGAAAACATCGCCAGTTTATCCGAGACTTGACGGGATGATCTAAGCAAGAAAATTACTTCTAAAGTAGAAAAAAAAAATATGAAAAATTGTATACGGTAAAACTCGCACGTACGGTAGGTAAAGATTTCCAGTATTACGTATGGAGGAAGAACAAAAAAATGGTGTTTTTTTTCCCGTACGGTACAGCCTGGATTTCGTAAAATATCAGATAAAAATTGAGGCATCACCTACGTGAAGGATTATGACTATTTCGGCATAAAGCATAATCGTTGAGTTTTTGGTTACAAGCGACATTGATATAATTCTTCGAAAGAAAAAAAGATAGAATCTCTGCAGATTTGCACAGTCTTCGTAATCTGCTCCAACAACAATACGGAAGACAAGAAAATTGTGTATATGCTCTTCGCAAATAAAGCGCAACTTTTTGATCAATTGAGATGGGATGGATTGTGACTCGACAATTGCATATTTTAATATTCCGTTCAACAACTTACTAATGTTGCTTGGGTTGTAGTACATTGTTCGGGTAAAGAAAAAACGATGAGAATAATCTGAGCAAAAAGGTATATTAGCAATGTTAATAACTCTCTGTGTTATGATTTGGACTTGATAAATAAAATTCGCGATTTATATATTGCTTTGCGCTATGCTATATGTGAAAATTGATTAAATTATAATGGTGTATAAATCCGCGTAATAGGAACCTAGTGCAGTTAATGTTTATGCGTAGAAGTGGGTTAACTTTGGAAGAAGAGTTTCTGAATAGGCACAACACAAAATTTTTCGCAACAGTAGGAAGTGTCGGAATAATAAAATATATCGTACACAACTAACAGCCATCGTATTAAAAGAATGTTATGTCTATCTAAATCTAACTCGTCATCTAAGACCATATGTCAATGTTTTACGGTATATTATATATCGACCCATATACTACTACGGAAGCTTAAAATTATAAACTAGGCAGAATTTAAACTATCCTTTTTATCCAATAATAGCAATGTGCGTTTTAATCGACCGAAATAATGCAATTATTAGACATTGCTAGACCATGACATTCTACATACTATCACCGGAAGGTCGACTAAATTAAGCGCTTACAAAAAACGTCATTTATTGAATAGATAAATCGATCTTAATGGTCAGTATACTTTATTAGAGAAATCAAATCGTTCAATATTACTTTACACGTAGACGGTTACTCCACTTGCGAGTTAGAGTATATTTGCTTGCAAAATACTGAATATATTTATTGGCTAATATTAGGGTTCTAATAATATAAATATAAAGCGTACAGTTTTACGCCTACACACAAGAAAAAACATCCCCTTGTTTTGAAGAAGTAATTTTTCGCTCGCGAAACTCAATCGTATCAGTATAGATTATAAAAACTAAAACCCCAATCCAGTATTGAAAAATCATTCTCTGTTTAACTAAGTTTGAATGGGTAAACATAATTGTACTTAGTGACCAATTCACTATCCGGAGACGTTGATAATAATATTACAGCTAATGTTTTTTTGTTAAATTTCTTGATATGTCAATTAACAAATAACAAAAATTACGTGTATTTGCCATAGCGTAAATAATTAATCTTAAATGGTCAATTACCTTGAGAATTTACATTCTAATGCGTACCATCTTGGTGCTTAACTAATTAAATTGAATGTTACAGATCAAGCTCTATAGCCGTGCGCAAATGTGCTCTAAAACATGTTTTTCGGCAATTAATATTAACTATCATGAGGACTATAATCTTACTGCAATTATTTTCAATTAAGTTAAATATAGCCGTGGTTTGTAGGTGGCTCACAACTGTACGACTTTTACGATTACACTTCATAGTCAAATAAAAACACCGAATATGTTTGTGAATATTATTATGACATCAATTTATTAAATATGTCAGATCGAGAGAAAAAAAGTTACATGTTCACGTAGATTATATAAAACAATTACGACATTCGATCACGTTAAATCGAGTTTCGTGACTTTACCAATAATTGTTTTATTCTTTAGTCTTAAAAACTGTAAATTGCGAACTAGTTCCAGTAGCACCAGTTTGGGGGTCGGTTACTTTAACACTGTATGTACTACCATCAGTGGCCCACGCTGGATCAACGAAAAAGTCTTTCGAACCGCTATTGGCATTTTGACCCTTTTTTAAACAATCGATTTTAGCAAAGAGTAAACTGGTTATTAAAATTTAAACAATTTATCTGATAAATAAACTTACCGTTGTGGTAAACACAACCCCGTCACCTTTTTTGATAATTTGAATATTTACCGGGCCTGTTTGGGAAAAAAAACTCTATTAATATTTGTTTTCAAACATATCCAAAAATCGGTTATATCGTATAGTAATAATACCTGAACCACATAGATTACACCACCAACTGACATTCTGCGTAGATTTAATCGCTCGTGCACCAGGACCTGGAGCCGGAACATTCATAACAGGCGTTGCACGTTTTTCATGACGGAGATTAACGGTAGGAGCACAAATAGCCAAGGCCGTAAACATTACAACAAGAACAGCCAAAAGTCTTAGAACTTTGAAAGTAGCCATCTCGAAATTTGTGAAATAAAGTTTTCGAAGCAAAGTATTCAATTAACAAGCTAATGATCTTGCTTGATGAGATTTTGAAAGCAGACGCTGCTCCCGTTTAAATATGTTTTCGGTTTGAATTGCCCCCTAGCGCGTTATACATATTAATGTACACAGCTTTGATTTTTTTACAACAGCCTCCTTCCTCAACTGGAATTTAATATCATGTTCTTTGTTTTGCTGTCACAAGCATCAGATAATTACTTGGCAACCAACTAGCTTGAACGAATATTGTGTAAAGGATTACCAATTTAGTTTGTGCATTGCTGAAATGGAACTTAGCCGTGGTTTTTTTTAGCAGTTGCACAAGTACCCGATGATCCCTGCATTTGACAGATGTGTCACGAAAACCACCCAAGGTCTCATTTCCTTAACAATATACCTTAAAGGAATTCATTCTGTGCAGGAATTCCTCTTCTGCGCTAAATCAGTCGTGCATGAAAGTGGCGGAAACTGCTGAAATGGGACTTAGCCGCGCCGTGGGTTTTTTTTTGGTTCACACAAGCGTCCGATGATCACTGCATTTGTGTCACGATAACCTTTAAAGGGAATCCTTAAAGGGAATCATTTTGTGCAGGACAGAAACGCGGGGAACTGCTGAAATGGAGCTTTAACCGGGCTTTTTATGCTGTCACACAAGCGTCCGATGATCACTGCAGTTGACAGATGTATCACGATAACCCTAAAGGAACCATTTTGTGCAGAAATTCGCCTCTTTCTGCGCTAAATCAGTCGTACATGAAAGTGGACAGAAACTCAGGAAACTGCTGAAATGGGACTTAACCGATTTTTTTTTTTTTTGCTGTCACACAAGCGTCCGATGATCATTTACATTTGAGACAACCGCCTAAGTTTTTATTTTCCCGAACCAAAACGAATGATAGTGAACAAACTCGGGAAACTGCTAGAATGGAGATTACTGTGGGGGTCAGATCCCTTATACTTTATTCGGATAGTCAACTTTGTCTGACAATATTTTCGTACATTGATCTACAGTCGATCTGTCGTGATTTAGGAAATTGCACTAACCTCCTTTCTAAATTTACTAACTGCCAAGAGTCCGGCTATTTTTATCCTAATTGCCTATGTCTATATCAAGCATCTCTCTTACTTCCATGTTGTACAATAGGATCTCCCGTTGACGGGATCAGACTTCTGGCGTGCGCTTGGGGAGAGGGTGTGCATATATCCGCACCATGTTACGATGTGAAGATAGCCAATAATATTGCTCGTAATCGTCATTATTATCATTTTAACGTAACGATTCGTTGCTCATCTTATATTCAGTATGCAACGGATAGTACTGGAATGGACAACAAGGAGGTTATATGATTTCTTTATCCACTTGTCAAGGTCAACATTACTAGTGGTTGGATTTGTATTTTTGTATGTAATACTACTTTCTGTCTATTATTAGGAATCGTTCTGTTGGCCGTGCCATGTCAGGATATCAGAAAAAAATTTATTATAGAGATTTAATCACATGACGTGCACGTAGAGAGGTTTACTCGGTTAAGCAAAGCAAAATTTCCTCTATTATGTTATCGTACCCAGAAATTATTTTAAATCTATGATTTGGCAGGTTTAATAAAAAAAAAACCTTGATTGCTCTTCTCAGACGAGAAGATCGTTGATTATATACACTATTATAAATAAGAGTAAGCTTTATGATTCTTCGTGTGATGGTAACTGTAGGATATCTGATGAGATTTTAGCAAGTTTTTGACCGTAACGTTCTTTTAAAGGCAGTTCTAGCCGGATACAATTTGTTAGTTTCTTTGTTATCAGGTGGAGATATGGTTGTTGTAGGTTTTGATGACGTTTTTCTGACATTTTGAAGTTTGTTCGGCGGATGGATAAGTTCGATTAATGATTTGTATAATTTTGTTCTTTGTTGGAAGTTGTTTAGTCGGCTGATGACGTTCGTCTACTTGATTCGAGGGATGATGACGTACTTCTGGATTTGAATTCAAAATTATAAAGCTTTGCACAAAAGCTTGTCGTTGTGATCACGGCTAGTAAAACATGAGAACTTCCTTTGTCTTCTCGTGGATTTCTCGTATTTAATTCATGGAATAGTATAATGTCGAAGTTTGCTAGATTTAAAGTCGAATTGCTGGCTGCTCACGTATTGTGTGACATATGTGGTAAACGTAGTTATGTCATTCCGTATTTGCGCGCTGATTTTGATAGTAGTGGCCATTATATGAACTTATGTTTGGCGTGAAGTATGATATGACATTTAAACAAACATATCTAAGAAAATTGATATGCAAGCGAGTTGAGTTAAAGCTTACAGTAATTAATAAAAGCTTTTATAGCAAAAAAAGTTTTGATATTGTATAATGTACTGTACTTACGGTGAGTTTATTTACCCTTTAACAATGTTATGGGAGCCAATTATTCAAGCACGTTATCAGAGGCAAATTTGAATGTTGCGCGCCAATCTGTGAATTTTTCGGTACATAGATATCAAATTGAACATGGATGCAAAGTTAAGAAAAATACTATTGGTTTTCAGGACGTATTCTGGTCGGGTTCTCTTGTATTTTGAGAACATAAACAGCAGCCAAATTAAGATAGACAAACATATTGACAATGTAAAAATATAGCGTGGTAAGCAAAAGACGAGTGGTCTTTAGCACCCTTATAATTTTAGTCGGTCAATCGGGCACACCTTTTCCATAAAAACAAAACTCGGTTTATTTTTCAGTGCATTGACCTACTGTTGATCTGTCATGATTTAGGAAATTTCGCTAACCTTATTTCTAAATTTGTAACTGCAAAGTCCGGCCATTTTATATATATCTATATTTAGATTTAAAAGTAGAACTAGCTCTTGATCTAGCTCTTGATCTAGCACTAGCACTGGCTCACTTTTTCGCCTCCATGCTGTAGTCTTTTTTAATACCAAAACTGTGTATCGTTGCTCAAGCATAGAAATGTAAATATTCCGTGTATCGACTTTTCATATTGCACACTGATATTCACTTGCTCTGTAATGAAGTAACATTTTCGATATTTGTTGTATTATGCCAAAGTTTCTTGCGTTTAGACAGCAAATTGTTTTTTGATTGCCCTTGACATCCATCTTATTGCTATTTACTATGCCCTTTAGCTATCCCATCGTATATTTCTTAACCAATTATTTGTGGTAAATGTATAAATTTAATTTAGGTTATGTGAAATTATTAAACCATTGTTATTTGCTTTGATACTATATTTTACACGATACACACAGATGAACAATTGGTTCAGAAATTTAGTTTATTATACATGATCATTGCTCTTTTTTTGCCTTCTTTCTTCCTTTGCTATAGTTAAAGTTTAACTTTTAAATGCTAAGTATGTATCATGGTTACAGTGTGTAACGAAAAAAACCGCCTTTCGAAAATTGAACATATTTTGTAAAAAAACCAAGCGGGCGTGTTGTTATGTTAGTAAACGTATTCAAGTAATAATTATCGTAATTAGTCCCGTTGTTCTCCCCCTTGTCCTTTGCAACATGGAGAGACTTGAAGTTCAACGACAAACAATTATCATTATTGGCTTAATGGCGTCCAATCCCTAAATGAAAGACCAATATTCCTTATCGCATCGAAAACATGTGGCATATTGTCAAGAATAACGTTGAAACATGGATGTTAAGAAATAAAACAATTTGTGACCGAAGAATGGACGCAATTCCAGAAACGACTGTAAAAATTAATTTCATCGATAAAAAAAAAGAGTTGTGAGCTTGTTTTGCAGAAAAATTGTGATAGAATTTTGTATTGAAAAATTTACCTGCAATAAAGCACATTATAAGCTTTTAAAAAAATTTGGAACTGTTTAAAAATTTTGCATGGCCATTGAGTTATGGTATATTTTATGATAGCGGTTTTTTTCGTTACACACTGTATGTATGATTCTAGACTTCGAACTATAGAAGAAAAGTTTTTCTTTCAAATATGAAAATCTTATTACCCAGCCAAAATTCTTTCATATCATCGGACATGACATGTCACATGACGAAAATAATTAATTTTTATTCGCTGAGATTCGATTTGCCTCTATCAATGCAGATTGCGTTTCACTAATTTCCATTTTCTCATGTATACAAGTATGCGAATGTTAGCCCTTATTAACATAACTATCTAAACTTTTTTGTTTAAGATTCTCTGTGTATCTTAATTCCATTAATGTTTGTACCTATATAGTACAGCAATGTCTTCTGGTAGAATCTTCGGCTCGGTTGAATACTGTAAAAATTGTGTTAGTGTTTTCAAAGCAGTAACTGCCTGGTGGAGAGAGATGGTTGGTCTTATTTCCGCTTCTTCATTTGTATTACTCTCAACTTGTGTATCACTTAAAACGGACTTATAAATAAAGTTTTCATTAGTTTTATTATTCGACTGGTACCGGTAATAGGTGTACATAATACGATAAATTTATAAATTGAAAAATATATATATATATATAATAATAAGCATAATGATTTATTTGAGATAAAGAGCTAAATACTAAATTTCCACGTCTAGGCTGTAGGTTCACTGTTGTGTAGTTTCGTTGCTAACAGAATTGGAACGTGTTTTTCTTTGTAATTTACGATGGTAAAGCGGTTTGATTGGTATGAGACATACGAACGAAATTGTTCGTAATTTGTAACACCAGACACTTTTAAATTACCTTATTATTATTATTATTATTATCAGTAGTCATCGCCACTATCACTTTGTTATTGTAATAAAAATTTCGTTCGCTGTAATTAGTATTTACTATTATGAAAGTGTCGTAACTGAATGGTTGACGCCTTCTAAGTTCGCTCGATTAAGTGTAAAACTAGACTGATTAGGTTTTATTAGTGCTGATGAGGTGCTGAGGTGCTGACCGAGCTGAAAAATCTTGTTTACCATATATAGAATGATCAACATTAAATAATACTGTATATGGTAATGAATTGCATCTCACATCAGGTTCTCAGTCTACTGCTCTACTTCAACGTATGGCAAAAGCGCCATTAAACTTTTGGCACTACAGATATATCTAACCAATTCTGTAATTCGTTCTGCTTCTGTTAAAATCAAAATTCGGTAAGAAAATACAACGCAGGTTCTGCGGACTTACGCCACCGAAGTAAATCATCTTATCTAAAACCTTGTAACACCCAAAATTGACGAAAAGGGTAATAGATACCTTATTGGCGTTAGTAGTAAACCGGATAAATCAAAAAATTTTTCTCTGAACAAGAAAACAACAGGAATAACAACCACTTCATGTATGACAAATTAATTCCTTGTTTATATTCGCCAATTATTGGTTAAGCCCATCAAGTATAAATTACGCTGTAAAATCCCGGTGGGCATAGAACGATTTCCTTCGACTGAGCTTGGGTCTTGGTCAATAAAACCTCACGCTCTTTTACAAAAAGAAAATCAATCCACTTGGTCTTATCGACTTTCTCTTGACGTACCAAATCCGCATCTACCCCAAAAGACGTCTTCCTATTCCAACAAAATGACCAAGCTTCTTCGCTTAACTCTTATCGCCCTCGCCGTTATTGTACTTGCAAATGTCGTTGTGTCGATGCCACTCCCGGTCAACAAAAGGTGAAGAGAGGAAATTTCAATGCATCATTTTACTACTAATACTGATATGTTACCACACGCTCACCAAACTTTCTCCTAAAAACCATTAATATGAACAAAAAAAGATTCGGCCCAGTCAGTGATTGGGGTGAAGACCGCATCCAAGTTACTTGTAACAGACGAAGAGCATGTCCTCCTCATCTTGATGGTGGTGGCGGTCACAAAGGTCCAAGCAACAGCGATCCATCTCCCCCTGACGGAGATAACTAAATAGTTCAATTTATTGTATAAACAACCACGTATTACTAATTACTTGACTTACCATATGCATAACAGCGACATTTATATTTAGTAATACTTTTTGTTTAAATGGTGGTTTAACAATAAACTTCTACTTGACCGTGCATAAAAAGGTTGTTTTACTGAACAAAACGTTTGTGTGCGATATTAAATTCTAACTGGGCACATTTTATTTACTCCATTTATCTATGAAGATTAAGTTTTTGTAGGGCTTGTGACATTGGTTTAACCTAAAATTGAATGCTTGCTAAAATGAGTTTGTTCAGCAACAAATGTTTTACCTACAGTGTTCCGAAGCGCACATCTGGTGCTGCGAACGAAAAAATAACGAATAAATATAATTGAACAGTCATTCAATGCTGCCCAGATCTTAATTTAATAAAAAATTTTCTAAAAATGGGGAGCTTTTAAAGTTTGTCAATAAATATCGAAACATGCGAGGTTGGGAGCCGAATGCCTTAATTTCAGCAAGACTGTCATTTTTTTTTTGATAAACCCATTCTAACCATTATGATGTTACTGGATTATATGCTTTATTTACGCTCGTAAAAAAACTGTAAGTATACTGTAATGAGCACTTGTAGCGAAAGTAAAAGGTTTTATTGTATTCTCTATTGTAAAGCTCTGACCAATATTCTATACATTTATCCGTCCCGTCTAATGTTATGAAAGAAAATCTGCTATGAACAATAAATTGACTAAAAATTATACACAATATAATGTATTCTAACTAGGCAAACAATTTCCGTAAAATAATTGACGAAATAACCAGACTTTTTAATAGAAAGTACTTGACTTACCATTACCTTGTATATTATATCTTTCATTTTTGTTGGTCCCCACGTACGTGTGTTCGAATTTTTTGAATGTAGATCAGGTAATTCTATTTTGCCATGTGATTTGTATATGTCGTTGTACTAATAACTAGATCAACAAATTTACGTTACTGTAACAAACTACTGTAGAAGGCCATGGTTAGCAGGCAAGACACTCGCCAACACTAATAGTAATATGTTCGGCCATGTGCGTGAGAAAACGTATATCCCGACAACCCGATTTACAGTATAGATTGAACGTTTCTGTCCATAACTTTCTCACGATACGCCAATTTCATTGCAATGTATATTACACATAAGTAGAAGCACTTCCTGAACCGCTCACACCATTCTCACGCGCGCAACATGTCCAAAATTTTTTACGCCCAGCATTCAAATAATTTTGCGGAGCTATTCAAAAGCGGCAAAAATTATGACCTTGTATTGTATGCAGGACACAAAAACGATAGAAGAGAATTCAAAGTACATACTCAAATCCTGTGCGCTCAAGCAAAATACTTTCAAGTTGCACTATCCGAAAAATGGCTCAAAAAGAAGGGAAAATGTTATGTCTTTGAAAAAACCAACATCGAGGCTGATGTCTTTGAAATCATCCTAAGGTAACGTGCAATGCGCTGAGCTTCAACGTATAGTACACTCGGCATAATTAATGTCATATTCATACATTATAATTATAGATATCTGTATACAGGAAAAATAAACATAGAAGATTGTGATGGCTCTCAAATTCTCAAATTGTTGGTTGCAACGGACGAGCTGGATTTAGTTGATCTACTCCAATACACGCAAACTTACTTTATTGAATCAAGAAAATCGTTCATAGTCGAACAACCGGTCCAAGTGCTTAAATCAATTTTCCGGCTTGAATCGTGCAAAACGCTCAGGCTCTTTTGCCTTGGCGAAATTTGCAAAAACTATACATATCTGTTCGATTCTGATTATATGGCATTGGACAAAGACATGCTTGCTCAGGTTATACAACAGGATGGATTACAGATGAAAGAAGTTGAATTGTGGAAATGTGTTTTGAGATGGGGTCAAACTAGACATCCAAGATCGAAAGATTCCCCAACGAAATGGTCGAAGTATCACGTGAATCGAATGAAGAAAACACTGGCCGGACTTATTGAACACATTCGGTTTTTTACAATACCTAAAGACGAATATTATGATGAGATTAGGCCATACAGAAAACTACTCTCCAAGCAGCTAAATGAAGATATATTGCAATTTATTATGATACCATCCAGGAAACCGAGCAATATTATGGCAAAAGCTAGAGCAAGACCACTGTTAGATTCGAGATTAATTCGGCATTCTGTTATGGCTTTTATTGCTAGGTGGATTGATTCCAAGAATATCGGTTATGACGAGATTTCCCGCAAGTTTTCACTAATCTATCGGGCAAGCCGTGATGGATTTAAGGATCAAAATTTTCGCAGGATATGT